GGGACTTCCTCTTTGCAGACGATGCAGCCATTGTTGCCCACTCTGCTGAAGACCTCCAACAACTCATGAATCGTTTCAGCAAGGCCTGCCACGACTTTGGACTAACAATCAGCCTGAAGAAAACACAAGTCATGGGCCAGGGTGTGGACTCACCTCCCTCTATTACCATCTCCACACAAGAATTGGAGGTTGTTCATGACTTTGTGTACCTTGGCTCAACCATCTCTGACACCCTCTCTCTAGATGTCGAGCTGGATAAACGCATTGGGAAAGCAGCCACCATGTTCTCTAGACTCACAAAGAGAGTATGGCTCAATAAGAAGCTGACGACACATACCAAGATCCAGGTCTATAGAGCCTGTGTCCTGAGCACACTCCTGTACTGCAGTGAGTCCTGGACCCTTTGTGCACGTCAGGAGAGGAAGCTGAACACCTTCCATATGCGTTGCCTCCGACGGATTTTTGGCATCACCTGGCAGGACAAAGTTCCAAACAGAGTAGTCCTAGAACGAGCTGGCATATTCAGCATGTATACATTACTGAAACAGCGACGTCTACGTTGGCTTGGGCACGTCGTGAGAATGGCTGATGGTCGGATTCCAAAGGATCTCCTGTATGGAGAATTAGTGCAGGGAAATCGCCCCAGAGGGAGACCACAGCTGCGATACAAGGATATCTGCAAGCGGGATCTGAGGGCCTTAGGAATAGACCTCAACAGATGGGAAACCCTGACATCTGACCGTTCAGCCTGGAGGCAGGCTTCACGGCTTCTCCCAATTTGAAGAGACCCTTGTCCAGCAGGCCGAGGCAAAGAGGAAGTCACAAAAGCAGCAAAACCAGGGAGCTGGAGAGGGGACAGATTGGATTTGTCTTTAGTGTGGAAGAGATTGCCACTCTCGAATTGGCCTCTTCAGCCACACTAGACGCTGTTCCAAGTCCTCCATACAGAGCACGACACCATGGTCTTTCGAGACTGAAGGATGCCTAACTAACCTCCCTCTCCCTCCCATTGCAAAAGGAAAACAGCCCTCTTCTCGCGAGAAGAGAGTTCAAGTGGCACATAGATATATAGCTATGCAGGAGAATGTGCAATGCTGGAGAATATGGAGATTCCCTGCTCCCAATTTCAACCCAACGAGGACACGGCCTGGGGTGGGAGGGAACCATCGCTTCTTAAGAGGCTGGGCGCTTTTGCTTTCAGTTTTATTTTTATTGGAAATATTCAAAAGAAAGGCATCCAGAATACAAGCTTCAGGCAGGTAATAAAGCAACCCAGTTCTGAGGGTATATTTGTTCTGGGGTTGTATGCATTGTTATGTAGAATTAAAAGTGAACACATGCCTAGTTTAAATTTGTTAACATAAATTGCAAGGTCATGCTGACTGACTGGTGAGACATTCTAAAATTTTTCAAGCCCTGCCAATGGTGGGGCTATGATGCATCTAAATTCAGTAGGTCACATGGGATTGTTTCTATGTTCCAAAAAAAGAAAAAAAGGCAGTGCTTCTAACAGGTCTAAAATATAAGAGAGTCTGGTGTGTTTGCACAGAAGCAAAGTGAATGCATAGTATATGCAGGGATGTATTTGAGCCATTTGGCTACCAAGATGTCCATTTTCATCTATGATATAAACTTATTTTTGCAACATCTGTAAGGTGTCCTATGCCCCATTTCAGGATAAGAAGCTGGTCAAAAGTAGGGAGGAAACTACATTTACTGGTGGGAAACTTGGGAACAATCTCTCACTTACCATCTAGAAACAGCCTTTTCAGCAATAGCACATTTCTCTCTGGAATGCTTCCCCAGAGGATTCTATCTGGTGCTTGCCATGAGTGTATTTTTATTTTTCCAAGCATTTAAAGAAAAGTTCTCAGTTTAATATCATAACATTATTATTTTGCTATTAATTTTACATTGATGTTACATGGTATTTGTTGCTTTTTTAAAAAACTGAGATTACTACATGCTACTTCTAGCCGTTGATCTATTGTTTGCAGTATCTATATCTATATTAATGTACTGTACACTTTCCAGAGAATTTTAACTATCAGGCAATTAAACAGTGCAATTAACTAATTAAGATGCCCTGGGTTTCCAATGTACAGATGATAAAGGAGGCAAAAGATCAGATCTGCAATGGAACCACAGACACTGCTGAATTACTTACCATAGGAGTTTCCAAGAAAAGATTCATAATTGCATTAATTATGATGTATCACATGTCCAAAGTAAGTGGATTAGTTGTGATTCCACTGGATGAATCTGGGCCGATAAAGAAAATGTGTTCTATCAAAACACCATAGAAAGGACCCGTTTTCCCCTTCAACATTTTTTAAAAAAAATTATTGGGCTCTGTGCTTTGTTCAATTTCATGGCAGTCAGGTTAGTTCTCCTGGGGAGTAGCTGAAACAAGCAGCAAGTATGGATAAAACAACAGAGTATGCAGCTGCTTGGTACAATCACGGCAGTGGGTTGTTCTTGGCACATACTGTAGCACGTGTGTACCAAGGAGCATCACCAATGTTTGCAGCAGGACAGCAGGTGCCCTGTCTTAGGAGGTGTTTAGAACTTCTGGCATCAGTGATGGGAGCAACAATTGGCATCTCTCAAGGATTTCAGGCTGCAGCTTGGAAAAAATGAAGTTTTAAATCGCAGAAAATAAAGCTTAGTAAAGGAAGTTAAACTCAGGAACCTGCTATAGAGTGTGATGGTGAGCCATAAAGATGGGTTAAAATTTGGTTTCAACTCCTGTTTTGGTAGTAATTTACCCAAATTAATTATTTTCTTCATGTTTGGAGTAGAAAAATCTTGACATTTAAATAGAAATGAATATGGGAGAATTTGAAACATTAATTGATCCAGTTCAGGCTCAGGGTTTTGAGTATTAAAATTCTTTAAAACCATGTAAGTGCTGTTGCTGAGAGATTGCACCGTATTCATTCTGGGATATCTTTTATGTAATGCAAATTACAAACAATGAATAATATTGCATTATTGCGTTATTGGTCTCAGGCACATTTGCTTGGTTCCACTTGTCTGCCTTTGTGAGGCTTAAACCAACATGAGACAGCTTTAAATTGACTCCTAAACTGGCAGGTTTTTAATTACTGAATATTTATGAGGGGTGCTGATAAGTATTGAGCCTTACCCAGAAAAAAAAATGGGCTAGGAAGCTCTAAATTGCAGGGTGTATTGGTCAATTTGTCTATATTCAATGGTGCAAAAATCAACTACCCATGACTGTATCTTAACTTTCATTTTCCAGTCCAAAGTGAACATGGCAGCACCTCCAGAAAAGATCAATGTGGAAGAGCATAGGCCCATAACCAAGTTTCTGTTTCTCCAAGGGAAAGGTGCATAGCAGATCCATGATGAAATGTCACAAAATATGGGTTACAGTGGACCTTCACATGCAACAGTTAAATGCTGGGTTGTCAATTTTAATACTGGCCATTTTGTGTTGTTAAAAGTGAGAAACCCAGTGGAAGGCCTATTTCTGTCTCTGTGCCTGCAAATGTGAAAGCCATCCATGACATGCTCATGGAAGACAGCCAAATATCAGCCCAAAGTATATCTGTGAACATCACATGAGAGAGTTGGTGCCATTATCCATAATGACTTGGAAATGAGAAAGCTGGCAGCAAAGTGGATTCCCAAACTTTTGACAACCGAACAAAAGAGGAAACGTGTGGAGTCATCGGTGGCTGTTTTGGAACATTTTGCAAGAAATGAGTCAGATTTCCTGGACAAACTGGGATCTGGTGATGAGACATGGATCTACTGTTATGATCATGAGACAAAGGAACAGTCTAAGAATGGAGGAACAGTGGTTTCCCCAGGCCAAAGAAGTTCTAAATGCAAAGGTCGGTGCAGAACCAAATGGCAACAGTTTTTTGGGATAAGAAGGGAGTTCTGCTGGTGGACTACCGCCAACAGGGTTAAACCATCAATCTAAAATATTACTGTGCTTTATTGACGAAGTTGAAGCAAAACATCACGGAAAAATGTTGAGGAAAGCTCTCCAAAGGGGTAATCCTGTTGCATGACAATGCCTCATCACACACTGCAGGTGAAACAATGGCAAAACCGATGTCCTTCGGCTTTCAAGTGATGTCCCATCCACACTATTCTCCCGACCTGGCTCCTTCTGACTATTATCTGTTCCCCAAACTCAAAAAACACTTAAAGGGACAACGATTTGGGAGTGTTCTGGAGGCAACTAATGCTGCAAATGAGTGGTTACACCAGCACTCAGAAGAATTTTATTTGCAGGGACCTAAGAATCTGCAGGACAGATGTCAAAAGTGCATAGACTTCCTGGGTGTGGCAGTTACAGCTTCCTAGCTCAATTTTTTCTGGGAAAGGCTCAATACTTATCAGCATCCCCTCGTACAAACAAGATATTGCACAATCACCAACACTAGAGGTCATAAGAGACAGTAGTGGGAAGGGGGGAAGGGACCAGTTTCACTACTGTAACAATCAGAGGATCCTTCTCTTTCCCACATAAAATTTTCCAGTGAGCAGGAATACCAGAGGAAAAGAGAGGAGAGACAGGTCCAGTTGGCATCAGCTTCTCAGTAGGATTTCCACTAAGGTCTTTTGAGGGAAAATGGAAGGTGGCAAGACTACGGAAATAGGGGGAGTAAAAGGGACCTGCTGGAGATAGACAAGTAACAGATTTAGCTTACTGTCTAGAAGTTGGTGCTCAGAGATCTAAGGCTGCCATGAAAATATTTTACTTGGTTTGGCACTAGGTCACTGAACAATTGTGGAGAAGTCTCTCATCTGTTTTTTCCACATGTTCTAAAATAGGTAAACTGTGAGATTGAAAAACCACCCCAATCATTTTGTAGTTTCTTCTGTAGTAGATTCTATTGCTTTGCAACACAAGTATAACACACTCTTCCACTAATACGTTTTTCCTTGTGTCCACAGCTCTGCACACATACAATATGTACACCTGCATACCACACAGACTGCATATATAAAACAAGGCATCAGAAGATTTTGATTGTTTACTGCTTTCCCATTTTTCCCTTCCTTCTTTCTCTTTCTTTATCCCTATGCCATCCCCCTTACAAAGTATAGTAAAACATACACTTGGCTAAGATGTACTCAGCTGGAGAACACAACTGGAAAGGCAATATCCTGGTCCAAATACAAAATGCTAGTACTTTTTGTAAGCCAGCCAATTAAAACCAATAGATACATAAATCAAGTACATAAAGGCCAATTATCCACCAGAATCCAAATACACATGTAATAACAGATGAATGGATGTCAGTGAAGATACTCTTCACAGGTGCCTTTTTTCCTTTCCTGTTGACATTGGGTGACTGGATTGTTTGTCATGAATGGAACAGAACTGTGTTGACATGTTCCCAAGTAAAGGATTGGAGAAAGGAATAATCTCAAGCACACTTTGTGTGCCCCAGAGGCTACTACCCATCAGTTCCTGAATGGATCTCACCCCAAACATATAGATCAGGGAATGAAGCAGCTGAATGGACCATGGAACCAGCCAGCGGTGAGGATTCTTACTCAGTTTTCAAACTCATTTCAAACTCATTTCTTTGGGATGAAGAAGTCTCACTGAAGTGATGGGTTCCAAGAGAGTGTGCTTAGGGTGTAAGTTTTAGAAGTAAAATGAAGTGTAAAGGCTTTGATATTGTTAGATACACCCATAAAACAATACAAAAGTGTGCCACAGGAGGCAAGAGAGTTCTCCAAAGTGAGTGTTCCTGAAGTACTTGCAAAAATGGTATCCAACCCTTTTGCTACTCCCCCTCTATTCAGGGGTCTCCAGATCAGATTGGCAGATCACTAAAATCAAGTCTTTACTGCCACTGCTTCATTTTTCTTGCTCCATCTCTCTGTCAACTATCTACTGTAATGGTTTCTTCAACTGTCCATACATTTTCTGGCATGTGCCACAAAACAGTTACATAAATCAGCTTGAATAGAGTGGCAGCAGCAATGCTATTTGGCATCTTCTTTACTTGTTGCAGTGATTGGTGCCATAATCCATTCCCAAGTCTGAAGCACCATAAAACCTGCCAACACTAGTGTCTTTTAGGTTGGCCACTGCCTGTTTTACAAAAGTGCACAGCTGGCATGAAAATAAGGCATTTGGAAGTTTCAATTATTCTCCCCAGTCGTTCGCTCCAGTATCAGAACAACCCTGCTGCGCTCCCAAGGCTAGCTGCAGAGTTTACCAGTCTCATACTCCACTGGGTTTGGCAGTTGGGCATTGAAAGCCTGCAGGGTGGACTGGATTTGACTTACCTCAGTGATGGTCAGTTTGAGCCTGTGCCGGAGCAAGCAAGAGAAAAGATCAAGGCGGGTCTTCCCAGGTGGAGAGAGATGATTTATCCGGTCCCTGATTTCAATTAGCTGCAAGATAGCAGAGTCTTGGGAGCCTTGAGTGTATGGATAATCCAGCTGAAGGACAAGGTTCCGAATGGCATCTGACTCAAAAGGCAGACTGTAGCCAAAGACTTGTAAGCTATTGATCCTCATGTACCCCATGTTCTTTGCAGGGTCTTTCTCTAAAGGCTCGTAAAAGATGGTTTCATTGGCACTGTCATTCAGAAATTTAATGCGGCTCCTCAAGTACACATGGACTGTCTCAAAAAAGGTCTTCCACTTATTTCCTAAAGTGAGGGTCCAGTTTTGACATAGGCCAGAAGTGTCTACATTAATCCTTTCCCAGTCAGGAAATCCAGTTTCATTGGTTGGCATAAACCAGCTTTCAGAGTGGCTCCCCCCAAAAGGGTTGACATAGATGGCCATAACTGGCTCCAGGGTGCTGTTCTTAGTGAGGCAGATCTGGAGGGAGAGGGCCAGCATGAGGTGGACCAATCCTGGCTTGTACTTGTTGCTCTTCAGGGTCACCAGCATCCTCTTCCTCCAGGATGGGTCAAACCACGTCCCCAGGTGCATGTCATTGCTGATGAAGATAGAGTGCACTTCAATACGGTTGTCCTGCTTCTGCAAAAGGTATCTGAGTTCCAAATCCTGTAAATCTGTCTCCAGTTCTATATAATGCTCAAGGGACTCTGCCACCTCTAGGCGGCACATTCCCAAGGTGAGCACATAACCAGGATTGCAGTACCCACACTGGGTGCTATTATCCTCTGCACAAGCAGCACATTCTGTCCTTTCACCCAAGGCACAGGGGATAGCACCCTGGCAGGAAGGTTGCTCATGGGGGCAGGTACAGCTGTGGTTTTCTTCCACAAATGTCCCTGGCACAGAAGTCTCACTGCAGTAGAGAAGGGACTGAGCGTGACTCCACCAATAGGTCAAAGGCCTACAAAGAGGAAGATAAAGGAAAAAATTCTGTTTCAACATCTAACTTAGAGGAGTAGAAGTGATTTTTTTTCTCTAGGGAAACTAGAGATCTATTCCTTTCCTAAAGCTCCTCTGAGTTCATTTCATGGGACAGTGGCAGAATATAACAAGGAAGGAAGGAAAAGAATTTTCATAAATGTTTATGTATATGAAGAGTTAGAATTAGAAAAAGGAATAATTTTCATGAATACGTAGAGTTAGAACTATATTTGTTTTTGGTGAAACAAAATGTTTTCCAAATTCTTTGAATCCTTCAAAATTTTGAATGTGGAATTTCATAGTTGAAAAAGGAATTTATATGTTAAAAGGTGTGGTAGGATTTTAACATCCTAGTCTGAGTACTGGGAAGAGCAATCCTACTTTCTTTTACTGTGAAAAGGGGGAGCTCTAAAGATGGAGGAACGAGGTTATTCAAAGTACATTTCCTTGTCAAAGCAGAATATCCACAAATGAAGCATCCCTGATGGATGGGCATCCAACCTCCATCCAATGAAGGACAGTCTGCCACTTTCAGAGGTAGACCATTCATGTCTTTTCTATCATATTCTTTTCTCCAGGACGATGATACCCAGTACCTCAACTACTGTACTTTTATCAGGGCTGGGTTTCCACACCTTTCACTGGTAGCTTTCTTCTGGAAATATTGCCTTGGTTGCCTTCTTCTGGAAATATTCTAGCAGATCAATAACCTTAAACTGAGGTACTCAGAACTGGCCATAGGGTTACACGTGATTTCGACCAAAGCAGAATAGAAAGGTAAGATTACTTTCCTTCATCTGGACACCACAGTTCTGTTAAATTAATGTTTAAATGCATAAGTGATATGTTTGACCTAGAGTGAGTAAGTATGGGTTATGGGATTGTATTATAATGTATAACTGTTTATGTGTTTTGATCCTGGTTGTTTTGTTGGAGAAAAGCACTTTAGCTTTTCCCCCGCAAAACAACTTATAAAGGGGGAAGGTGTCACATACAGCACTGATGGTACCTGTCTGTCATGGGTTTGGAGGGAAAGTTCCATCCTATGGGGAGTGGAAGGCGGGACATCAGGGGGGAGGAGCTGTACTGTATATATATTGGGGGGAAGTCCATCGTAGGGAAGCTGACGTGGAGAAGTGGAGTTGGAGTCTGTGGGTCAGACTGGGTACAACTGTTCGTCAGACAGTACATACCTGATAGGTTCGGGTTTCTATCTAGGTAGCCAGAACTGATAGGTTCAGGGTCTGTGCGTTACCTTAAAGTGTTCCGTGAGAACCAATCCGTTGTTTGTGTATGATTGGGACTATACCAAGTTCCAGTATCCTATTTACCTGATCCTTTTATTTACCCTGTTTGCTTTTTTCAATAAACCTTGTTCTTTTGTTTATTAAAATCCATTCCTGGTCTGGGTGACTTGGTAGAGCGAATGGTTGGTGGCAGCCTAACTACAGGGTGGGATACTCCAGTAGGTCTGGGGTCGCTACACCGACAGCCTGCTGTGTGAGCAGGGAGCTGCCCAATTACTGCTTTCCACTTATGCCACCACATCTGGCCCTTGAGTCCATTCTATTCAGCAGTGGCTTACAAAAGTAAAATATTATGTCAGCTGTGGGCAACAGCAGGCTACATGCCTGAGAGGGATGGTGAATGAAGTAAAGCTATTGGCGTGCATGGATACAAGGACATGGCGTTAAGAGGCAGTCTGAAAGGGAGGAAGAAAAGGGAAGGTAAAGGTCTCTGCTGGCATTATTGGTGCCTGGGAAGACGCCAATATATTTTGCTGGCACCAGGAATCAGGATTTCACAAGCCAAATGAAAAAACAGGGATCCCCCAAACAAAGAAATTGTAACTGTGAAACTGGACCTTGGACCAGCACCAAATTTGGCATGGATGTAGCAGAAAGTGTGCTTGCTCTGTGCCAAATTTGGGGACGTTTAGGCAAAGTTGAGTTATGATTTTTAGAAAATAACACTGCTTTCACCCTGTGCAGAAACAAGTATATTTTAGCTCTAGGTGATAGTTGTGATGATCAAAATTTAACAAAATATATCCTTTTATGTAAATATATATGTAGATAATTTTTAATTCTTAGCAATTTTTTAATAATAACAAGAAATGGAAAGTGTTAAACATGAAATCCACTTGCTATAATCATTCTGTACAGTAGATACATTAATAACTGAGATGAAAACTTAATCATCCAGTGAAGTCTTTGGTTGAATGCAGAAACAATTTCATCATTCTGTTTAATTTTCAAGTTTTTAAAAACAACAAAGAAAGGATATTGTACTGTGGTTGGTATTTTTAACATTACCTTTTGGTATTCTTACTGTCTTTTAATTAAGCACTCAAAACTCCAATTTTAGCTACCTCCGTTTACAGAGCTTGACTGATATTACTTTTTTTAAAATATTTTTAAGTAATACAAAATACAAAGTACAAACTATAATAATTGTGCTCCCCAGCACCATCAGGACCTCCTGGAGAACACCTCATTGTCCTCTTTTCTAGAATTGCATTGATCCTTGTGTTGGGACTTTACCTTTTCCTCTTATTAGCACAAATTCAATAAATCTACCCCATATATCATAAAAATATCTTTTTTATCTTCCCTTTCTTAACTTTTAGAATACAACTCAATTTATCATTTATAGCAAGATTCCAAACTTCATTGTACCATCCTTCCAGTTGAAATTCATGTTTAGATTTCCAGTTCCTGGCTATAATTAATTTTGCAGCAAACAATAAATTAGTAAGCAATTCTCTAATTGTAACATCTAGATCTTCAGTATCAAATATTGATAAAGCAATTTCTGGATTCAGCTTTGTATCTCTATCAAAAGTATCTCTTAATTCCTTAGTAATTAGTTTTCAAAAATTTCATACCCTTTCACACATACACCACAAATGAAAATATGTACCAATTTCATATTTCCAACAAACATTTGAGTATTTATTATTTATTTTACTCAATATAAAAAGGTAAAAGTAAAGGTTCCCCTTGACAAATTTTGTTTCAGAGGTAGACCATTCATGTCTTTTCTATCATATTCTTTTCTCCAGGACGATGATACCCAGTACCTCAACTACTTTTATCAGGGCTGGGTTTCCACACCTTTCTGCTTACTAGTTAGGACAGATTCGCAATTGTTTGAGACCGCTGGGGTGGACGTAGGAATACTTGACCATCAGTATAGGGGGCTAAGGGATACTTGTTCCCAGGTGACCCTGTGCCACCCAGACATTATTACTAGGAAGCATATAATCCCAAATGAGAGCCTGAAGGTGGCAGGGATTGAGGGGCAGGTGATCTCACTGCCAGTAGCTGAGGTACCTGTGAGCTGTCAAGGCTGGAGGGGAGTTTGGCGGCTAGCGATTTCATCGACTCTGCCAGCAGCCGTGCTCGTGGGAAATGACCTGGCTGAACATGTGAAACGGGTGCTAGTGATTACCCGCTCACAAGCTACCACGGGGACAGGTCAGGGGGGTACTGAAGAGCTATTCTGGCTATTCCTGCAATTTGTTAATGGTATCTCAAATGTTGATTCTGTCTTTGGAAATATTAGTTAACTCTCCCAGTTTGGAGTCATCAGATTTGATGCTAACTCCTGCATGTCCTCATCCAAGTGTCATTTATAAAGGTAATAGGAAATGCTGGGGCCAGGACAGAAGTCTGTAGTACCCTCACCTGCCACTTCTCTCCAGAATGCTGAGGACCTCTTGGTGTTACCCATCAACCAGCTGCAAATTGACCCAACAACAGCAGTAAAAAGATAAAGGTTCCCCTTGTCATGAGTGCTCCCGAAGACCTGGACCCAGAAGGGTTAACTGTGGCTGAAGAGAATGTGGAGAGATCAGAAACACCTGAACCGCCTCCAGATTCTCCCTCCACAGCAGACAGGCTTCGGGGCAGGCTTCGGGAAAGACTGAGGACAAGAAGAGCAGAGGATGGCTCTAAGGCTTTCCACAGAGACCTACGTTCATCTAGTCTTGAGTACTAGCAGGATAGAAAGCTTTCCAGCAGCTCAAGGAGCTGTTTCATTATAAAACAGCTTCCAGTGAAGCCAGAAACTTAGTGGAAGCAAGGAGACAAAACCTTGGCTTGCATCGTTTCTTGTATGTGTTCCTGACCCTGAACTCTGGACTCTGCCCTTGAACTACGCCGGTAGTGGACTTTGGACTCTGGACTCAGTATTCTACTGAGTTCAGACTCCTGGCTCAAGACTTACTCTGGAATGAGGCAGCTCTTATGGACCAATATATGGAGGGGTTAGCTGATGGGATCCTGGATGAGCTTGCACATGTAGACCGACCTAACACGTTGCAAGAGCTAATCACTCTATGCTCACGCATTGATGGCCGCTTGGAGAGCTAACGCTTAGTACAGGACGGGTCCCACCTTCTGCAGTTACCCTTGCCAGTCCCCAATATCAGACCAGAGGATTCTGAACCTATGCAATTGGGAGCAGCTCGGTTCCGCCTCAGCCTTGAGGAAAAGACACGGCACCGCTCCCAGAATCTTTGTCTGTACTGTGGGGGAGCAGGAAACTTTGCTTCTGGCTGTTTGGTTAAGTGGCATAACCTTGATTCTAGGAAACTGTTGCCAGTAAAAGAATTGCATTCAGATGTGGGGCACTTAGCTGGGTCCCCTGAACCATATCTTAACATCCCAGGACCATTCCTTGTACCTGTTAAACTCTGCCTGCCGGATGGATGTTGTTCGTTCACGCCATGGCTGACTCTGGGGCGGATCGCTGTTTTATCGACACCGCTTTTGTGAAACAGCACCGGATCCCTGCACAAGATAAAGAAAACCCGACCCTAGTCGAATCCATAGATGGACATCTCCTCTGTTCCAGTCCTGTGACCCAAGAAACCCAACCAGTCATCCTCTAGGTTCAACAACATCAGGAACAGCTGCAATTCATGCCCCGTTTTCCACTTATTTTGGGACTTTCCTGGCTCAGAACCCATAATCC